TTTATTACAGGGTTACAGACTGTGGGGATGTAGGGTTGTACTCAGGGCAGAACCATCTATTACAGGGTTACTGACTGTGGGGATGTAGGGTTGTACTCAGGGCAGAACCATCTATTACAGGGTTACTGACTGTGGGGATGTAGGGTTGTACTCAGGGCGGCACCCTTTATTACAGGGTTACTGACTGTGGGGATGTTGGGTTGTACTCAGGGCGGCACCCTTTATTACAGGGTTACTGACTGTGGGGATGTAGTGTTGTACTCAGGGCGGCACCCTTTATTACAGGGTTACAGACTGTGGGGATGTAGGGTTGTACTCAGGGCAGAACCATCTATTACAGGGTTACTGACTGTGGGGATGTAGGGTTGTACTCAGGGCAGAACCATCTATTACAGGGTTACTGACTGTGGGGATGTAGGGTTGTACTCAGGGCGGCACCCTTTATTACAGGGTTACTGACTATGGGGATGTAGGGTTGTACTCAGGGCAGCACCATCTATTACAGGGTTACTGACTGTGGGGATGTAGGGTTGGAGCAGACAAACGCAATTCTGTACAAATTATTTTCTGCTGCCAGGCCCCTGTGACAGTACTTTTTAAAAATGGTACAACTCAGATACTAATGATTGACAAGACCAAGGGACAAAGAATTCAGTATGTACCAGGTGCCATACCTCCCGCTGGTCTTGTGATGGATGGTTAGAATCAATACTATAAGAATAGCATGTGTCTGCCGAAACCGGTTTGGTTCAGTGGATAGAGCCGTCGGCCTGCAGACTGAAGGATCCCGGGTTCGATTCCGGTCAAGGGCATGTACCATGGTTGCGGGTACATCCCCGGTGGGAGGGGGTGCAAGAGGCAGCTGATCAATGATTCTCTCTCATCGATGTTTCTAACTCTCTATCCCTCTCTCTTCCTCTCTGTAAAAAAATCAATAAAATGTTTAAAAAAAAAAAAAAAGAAAGAAAGAAAGAAAAAAGCATGTATCTCATAGGAGTGCTGTAATGACCAAATTAATACATGAGAAGAGCTCGGTACACACGTGCTTAATAAATGTTCGCTAGTATCTTCTGTCCTGCTAAATCCTTGTAGTAACTTCAATTCACCCGTGAAACTCTAAGAGGTGACTTGACTTGCCCATGATTCATAGCTAGGCAGCGGACCTGGGACTTGAACTTGATGCGAAGGCCCAGGCTGTACTGCCTCCCGTTGCAGAATCCATCACGCTGGCTTCATAGCTGTTTCCTTGTCAGTCGCTCCCTCTTGGTGGGTGCTCCACGAGGGTCGCTGCTGTCTTGTCACCGCCGCCCCACGACACACTGGAGACCCTGATTGCATTTCTGATGCTGAGCGGCTCAGACAAGTTATTCAGAGGCTGAGTGGTGGCCACAGCGCCCTGGCCTCCCCTCAGCCTGCGTGGGAAATGCCGCGGTGCCTTCTAGGGTCCGTCTCTTGGTGGACAAATATCTACTGGCCCAGGATCGGCGGCGCTCTGAGCTGGGAGAAACCACAGCAGAAGCAGCAGACGGGAGGCCTCAGATTAAGCTTTCCCCTGAGCAAGCCCTGTCCTTGGCAGGGCAGCCTCCCCAGTCTCACTCCGATGCCTCCCCCAAGTAGCTGTCCCTAGTATTGAGGCGCCCACACACCAGCTCCTTGTTTCAAGGAACTCGAGCGTCAGAGGAGCCTCCGTGGGCTCAGTCTGAGTGTAAATACCACCTGCTGCCAGAGAGGATGACGTCAAATCCAGGCTGGCAGTGGCCGTGGCCTTGGGGCAGCTCCCTGCCTGAGGCCTGAGGCCCTGGGAGTCACAGCGAAGGAGGGGGAGGGGCAGCACAGGCTGGGAACGCGTTTGAAGGTTCCGCCCGTTATCAAGGATCTCATGACTCAGACTATTTTTCTTTGCAAACGCACTGAAGTCAGAAAGGGAATGGTTTTCCTTTCCTTGCTGCTCCCTCTTCAGAGCATCTGGACAGCAGGAGCTTGACAGAGTGCCCTCGTGGAGTTGATATCCTTCCAGCCAAAGCCAAGTCAAGGTTAAAAACACTGATTTGAGCCCTCGCCGGTGTGGCTCAGTGGGTAGTGCATCGGCCTGCGGATCCAAGGGTCCCGGGTTCGATTCCGATCAAGGGCAGGATCTTTCCCAGCCCAGACCCTGGTTGGGGCTCGTGCATGAGGCAACCAATGGATGAGTTTCTCTCACATCGATGTTTCTGTCTTTTCTTCGCTCTTCCACTCTCCTTAGAAATCAGTGGAAAATGTCCTCAGGTGAGGATTTACCAAAACAAAACAAAACATAGTTCCTGAAGGGAGACAGAGGCGGTAAGTACCATGAAGATAGATGAGGCAGAGTAAGGAGAATAAAGTGTCAGGGTTGAGAGGATTGTTTCATTTCGGGATGGTCTAGGAAGGCCTTTCTGATAAGATGGCTCCTCAGCAGACCCTGGCTGAAATAAAGAAGCAGTTCATGGGGCTCTCTGGAGGGGAACTCTTCCAGACAGAGAAAGGAGCACGTGTCCATGTCCTGAGGCAGGGGACGCCTGGAGTGTTCCAGGAAAGGCAAGAAGGCCAAGTGAGCCGGAGTGAAGCGGGCAAGGGGGTGGGCAGAGGGAGGATGTCAGAGAGGTGGCCTGGGGCTGGCGTGTAGGGCCTGGCAGCTTCCTGTGAGGACTTTGACATTGACTGTGAGAGAGATGGGAGCCATTGGAAGATTCTGAGCAGAGAAGGAAGAAGATCTGACGGGCTTAAAGGGCCCCTCTGGCTGCCATGGAGAGAACAGACGGCGGGGGACCAGGTAGCAGGGAGACCATGGAGGAAGTTGCTGCAGTTGTCCAAGTGAGAGAGAGCACTTTTGATTAAATTAGGAGCCATTGGTAGTAAGAAGGCGTCAAATTTTGGATATGTCCGAAGGAAGAGCTGCCAGGATTTGGAGATGGATCGCAGTGTGTGTGAGTGTGTGTGTGTGTGTGTGGGGGGGGGGGGGGTGAGGGGGGGAGACAGAAGCCAAGGATTGAGAAACGGAGTGGCCATTTACTGAAGTGGGGAAGACATTTGGGTAGACAATAAGTGCTCAATAACTATTATTTGTTGTATTGGTGATCTTGATGTCCTGGGTTGTCTAAACTCAGTGACCCAAGGCTTTGAAATGCTGAGCACACCTGACGGTAACTCCATAGGCGTTATGCCTGAGCACGGACTCTGCGCCAAGCACGATAGACAGGATCCTGACTTAGCAGTACCACCTGCACCCATAGCACGCCCTCTGAGAAAACCAAAATTGGTTGAATTTTTTTTTTAAATATATTTTATTGATTTTGTACAGAGAGGAAGGGAGATAGAGAGTTAAAAACATCGATGAGAGAGTCATCAATCAGCTGCCTCTTGCACACCCCCTACTGGGGATATGCCCGCAACCAAGGTACATGCCCTTGACCGGAATCGAACCCGGGACCTTTCAGTCCCCAAGTGGACGCTCTATCCATTGAGCCAAACCGGTTTCGGCCCAAAATTGGTTGAATTTTTAATATGTTTCAGGCATGGAGCATTTTTCACTTAATCCTGTCTCCACTACTGGAATGTGAGCTGCAAGAAAGAGATCTTAAAGTTCTTGTGTACTACTGACTGCACATGCCCGGAACACAGTGGGAACACTAGTTAATATTTATTAAATGAAACTTATTGTAGACGGAGGTTGGACAACTTCCCAAGGTAGAGCTGTGTCTCAATAAATTCTGTTGGATAATAATTATTTGTTGGATAAAAATGAGTGTTACTTTCCTATTTAAGAAAAGAGGAAACAGCAGGTAGCAGACAAGAGATTTGAACCCAGGACTTCCTGATGCCTGAACTTGAACCCTTTCCAAGGCCACACTCTGGGGCCTCATACACACTCTGGTGACCGTTTACACACATGAAACCCTCCCCACTCCCCTCTCCCCAGAGAAAGATCTAGTGCTCCGTCAGACTGTGACGCTCTCGTAATATGAAATGCATGACCTTAAAGTGTTCGTTTTATCTAACTTGACCAAGGTCACACAGATTGTTAGGGAAGGAAACAAGATGGGAGCCCGTCTTCCCACAGCGTGCCTGTTTGTTTCCCTAGTCAGGCCTCCTTCGCCTGGGGCACAGGGTCTCTGAAAAGTCCTGCATTACTTTATGGGACCTTCTTCCCACAGCACTGTCTGCTAATCAGTGTTTTTAAAAAATATATATATATTTTATTGATTTTTTAGAAAGAGGAAGAGAGAGGGATAGAGAGTTAGAAACATCGATGAGAAACATTGATCAGCTGCCTCTTGCACACACACACACACACACACACACACACACACACACACCCTGGGATATGCCCGCAACCAAGGTACATGCCCTTGACCGGAATCGAACCTGGGACCCTTCAGTCCCCAAGCCGACGCTCTATCCATTGAGCCAAACCGGTTTCGGCTCAAGGCTCTTTTTAGATGGGCAGAAGGAAGAAAAGGGAAGGAAGAAATGATGGGGCGGGGCTGTTGAGCCAGAATACAGCGGAGGCCAAGTTTTCATTCCCGTTACTATTCATTCACTCATTCGTCAGAAAACGTTTGTGGAGCACCTGCTGGCTTCCAGGCACCATTCCAGGCTGGGAACGCTGCGCCGGGCCAACTCTTGGCATCAGGGTTTACAGTCTCTCAAGGGAGACATAATAATAAATAATAATAATAATGATAACAACAACAACGGCTGTGTCCCGGCCATGGAAAATAACGTGGGGCCAGAGATAAGTGGTTCGTGTTGCCCACGAACTCCAGCGAAGCGAGTGCCCACGACGCCAGGGTGCCCTCCACAACCTTCCTTCGCGCTTCGTTCTCGGGTGCGAGCGGAGGGGGGCGCTGCCCCGGGAGGGAGAACTGCGGCCCCTGCGGCTCCGCGGCTCCCCCGCTCCCCGGCTCCCCGCGGCCGACGGGGGCGAGTGCGCAGGCTCCGGGCTAGGCACCGCCCAATAGGAACTGCCTTTGAGGCGGGGTCCCGCCTCCACAGCGCAGCCTGCTTCCGCTTCCGGCGTTGCGGAGGTCTCGGTGAAAAGATGGCGACGGCGGCTGTGGCTCGGGTTTCTGCGCTGCTGGGGCGGCGGCTGCAGCCGGCGCGGCCCATGTCGAGCGGCGCCCACGGCGAGGAGGGCTCAGGTACGTGGGCCGCGGGGCGGGGCCGGGCGGCGGCGGCGGCGGGCGGCGGGGGCCGTGACCTTGGGCCGAGGCCTTGGGGGAGGGGAGGGAGGCGCGGACGGCCGCCGCCGGCCTCAGCCGTTCGCGCTCCGCAGCCCGCCTGTGGAGGGCCCTCACCTACTTCGTGGCGCTCCCCGGCGTGGCGGTGAGCATGCTGAACGTCTTCCTCAAGTCGCACCACGGAGAGCACGAGAGACCCGAGTTCATCGCCTACCCTCACCTGCGCATCAGGACCAAGGTAGGCCCCGGCCTCGCCTGGAGTGCCCGTTCTCCTTCCATCCCAAAGGCCCTGGTCCCAGCGCTTTATTTCTGAAAGCGAGGAGTCCGTCCCGAGCGTCCACAGCTCCTCATTAATCGCCAGTTATTTTCTCCGGTTTCACGGAAGGGAACCCGAGGAGGGGATGCAGAAGGGGGGTGTCACTTCTCAGTTTCTTCTTCAAAGTCCTGCAATCAGTGACTTACAGTTTTCCTCTTCTGATCCATCTGCCTCCTGACTGTTCAGAAACAGCTGTCGTCTGTTTAAAACGGTTTGGGAAACTTGCTCAGATTGGCACAGTCGGACCCTGGTTCCCCTTTAAAACCTGGGCACGGGGCAGGTACCGGCATAACAAAGAGAACTGACACTCCCGTTCTCCTTTAGGCTATTATCTTCCCCGCTGTGTTACGCTTTGGCTGTTGCTGTAGCTTCATAATCATTTGCTCTCCGCCCTATTAACAACAAGCGCCCCTCCGGTTCTTTAATAAATATTACATCAGTCCAGGTAGGACTGGCCTCAGAGAAATTAAGCTAGATTCTTAGTTTCAGAAAGAATTTTCTTTTTTTTTGAGTCTTTGAGCCCCACTCCCACCCTGGTGCCATAGAATTAGAAGTCATACAGGAGGTTTCTCAGCCTCAGCACTATAGACGTTTAGAACTGGATAGTTCTCACGGGGAGCCGGCTGTCTGCAGTTGTAGGCTGTTTAGCAGCATCCTTGACCTCTGCCCACTAGATGCCAGTAGTGCCCCATCCCGCCTCAGATGTCTCCAGGTATTGATTGCCTATGTCCCTGGCATGGCAGAGTCATCCAGGGTTGGAAACCACGATCCCAGAGCAATGCTTTTCAAAGGTACCATGCGAGTATCTTCTCGCCATACCACCTCTGCCATTCCCGCCATTCCCATACAGGTGATTTGAGGGTTACACTTTCATAATATGCCTACCAGGGAGAGGCTTTTTTTTTTTTTTTAAACATATTTTATTGATTTTGTACAGAGAGGAAGGGAGAGAGATAGAGAGTTAGAAACATCGATGAGAGAGAGAGTCATCGATCAGCTGCCTCTTGCACACCCCCTACTGGGGATATGCCCGCAACCAAGGTACATGCCCTTGACTGGAATCGAACCCGGGACCTTTCAGTCCCCAAGCCGACGCTCTATCCATTGAGCCAAACCGGTCTCGGCAGGGAGAGGTTTATGAATAACAAACTTAAGCTTTCTTTTCCTGCTACCTACTTTATGCCAGTAGTTAGAGGACTAATTTCCATTTTGTTTTATGTATTATCTGTCACTTGCCCTTTTTTAAGCAGTTCGTGGCAGTGCGGTTTCTGAACTTTTCTGGAATGTCCTAATTGGCTTCTTCCCTCCACAGCCCTTCCCCTGGGGAGACGGTAACCACACTCTCTTCCATAACCCCCACATGAACCCGCTGCCAACAGGCTACGAAGAGGACCATTAGAGAGAACCCGGACCAGTGCCCGCAGGGACCACAGTGTGGTTTGGACCACATTCTGCACAGGGACCAGAAGGTGTACGGGACCTCGGCTGACTTCTTTCCTAATGTAAAATGATGACTGACCTCCCATCTCTGTGCTTATGGCAGGAGATGGCTTAAATAAATAACTTAGGTTGGCCATAAGCCGAGAGTTGCATTCTTTGGTGGTGTTTTTCCCTGGGAAATTAGCATTAATGTTATTTCTGTTGCTGCAATGAGGCCTCTGAATAATGGGGTTTATAACAGGCCTGTCTGGTTTCTGGTGCCCAGGGAATGTAACAAAGCAAAGGAATGGAGCTAAGTAACAAGATTGGGTCCTGAGTGGCCAGTAGAATGGCTGCAGTTTCATTTAAAAAGGATTCTGGAGAGGAAGTGCTTCCTGTATTTCAGCATCTTTCTATCCCTCTCCGGCAGCATTTGCTGCAGAATACTAACTAGTCTGATCATTTCCTCCGGAGGTGTCAAATTCTCACCCTGGTGTCATCTCTCAGCACCCTGAAGTTGTTAGGGTCAAAAACCTTTGGAAAAATAAAGGCAGCTTCTTTGAAGTAGCCGAGATAGTTGGAGGGTGAAATCAAAATAACATGAGGAACAACAACAAAAAGTATTCTCTCAGTAGTAATTATAATAAAAGAACGTGGTTGGCCTGGAGCTCATTTTATTCTCAAGGCTCAACCAGACAGTTTTATGGTAAGATTCGGGAAGTTTTAAGGTTTTGGTGTTAAGACATAAACTGGTGCTGCACAAAGGTGAGGCACATAGAAATGGCCATGAAAACCGTTTACAGTTAAGAAAAAAGAATCCTGTTATCTTGGCCATTTGTGATCTAGCCATGTCCTGTGCTTCCCCATAGAACTGTGCCAGGACAGATGGACTTACCTTCAGCTTGCTGTCTGGCCTCCCTCAGCTGGGTTCCGAATATCTTACAATCCTTGTAGAATGGACATTAAACCGTCAAAGTATAAATGCAGAATGTTTTGAAATGACATTAAGGACTGGTCGTATTAAACATGAAGTAGTGTACTCACTTCGGCAGCACATGTACTAAAATTGGAATGAATCCTGGCTGGCTTGGTGTAGATCGGCTGCCTGCGGACTGAAGGGTCCCAGGTTAGATTCCGGTCAGGACACATGGCCAGGTTGCAGGCTTGATCTCCAGTGTGGGGTGTGCAGAAGGCAGCTGATCAATGATTCTCATGATGTTTATCTCCCTCTCTGAAATCAATAAAAATATATTTATAAACAATAAAATTGGAATGATATAGATTAGCATGGCCCTTACACAAGGACATAAAAATTTGTGAAGCATTCCATATTTAAAAAATAAATATGAAGTAGTAATTGGTAAAGTGAAGAGAACAAAATTATACTGCCTTTAAATCAAGTTTCAGGCTATTAAATTACTCAAGATAAATAGTTGTGGGAACTACTGACATTCTAGAATAGCGGTTGCCAACTGGTGGTCAGAAAGGTTGGTGACCACTGGTTTAAGGAAACCTTTGGAGCAGCGGACGCCAGGTGGTGGTCTGTGAGGTCCGAAAGGTTGGTGACAACTGTTCTAGAGCCGTGGTCGGCAAACTGCGGCTTGTGAGCCACCTGCGGCTTTAGCCCCTTGAGTGTGGCTCTTCCACAAAATACCACAGCCTGGGCGAGTATTTTGAAGAAGTGGCGTTAGAAGAAGTTTAAGTTTATCGTTGTACTGTTGATATTTGGCTCTGTTGACTAATGAGTTTGCCGACCACTGTTGTAGAGTATGGAATTGCTCACCTGATCCTTAGTGCTATTATATAAACATTTAAAAATATTTTCTGTAGCCTACTGTGGAAATACATTTTTAAAGTCAGTGAAGTTTCTATTTGCTATGCCATACTACCTAAGTTAGATAAATCTTCACTTTTTCCTCAACTTTATATTATATATTCCTCAACTCTTTCCCCCCCCCCCATGTATGTATGGACATGTGTGACACCAGGGTAATAGCTGTTCTATAAAATGCACAGAGTTCAAGGGTCAAATAATGATAGAAACTAAATGTTACAATTTATTCCATCTTCATGATTACAGACATTACAGGACAGGGTGGATAAACAACGCAAATAAAGAAAATTCCTTTCTCCCCTAACCAGATACAGTATTTTGGCATTTTCATGATATACAGGTTTACTTAATTCATTGACTTAGCTTGAAAGCTGGCCACAGCAGCAAATCTTTGCAATTTAGGATCTTCCTCCATAGCATACTCCAAAGATCTTAATGACTGAACTTGCACTATGAACTGAAATGGTGTTCGCTCTTAACATTCTTGAAGCTTTCACATCTTAATCTGAGATCTGACACCTCTTGTTAAGGCTGGGAACTGTTAAAAGCTTCCTCTTGGCTAACCTAGTCCACCACTGAGCAAGTTTAACAGTTAAGTTATTATATAAAATAAAACTCCCAGGCATTGATTGAAGCAGTCATACTGGGGTCCCTTTTCAGAGCATTAGCTCCCTGAGAGAAAAGAGGTCCTAACCAGTTTCTTCCATGAACAATGACCACAGTACAGTACCTCTAATGTCCTTTGGGACATACTAGTAACTCAAGGCAAGGGGTCAGGCAACCATGATTATCCTGACAAGTTTATCAGTCTTTAGATACAGGATATATTTAAAGCTGATCCCAGATGAAGTATTGCAACCATAATCCCAAGAAATTCCATTTTAGCACAGCAAGTTCCTGCAAGATGTCAGAGCAAGTGAGGTCATCCCCAAGTAAAAAGTGGTGGTTCAAAGCGAGAAGAAAACATCTAGGAGGAAAATAAGTCCTCATTAAATTGATGGCTATCTTCACAGCCTTAGTTGACAAAATCCAGAGGGCTCAAATTTCCTGATTTGAGGAGTCTTTTCAAGGTGACTGTCAAGGTCAAGAAGAGCTTTCAGGCTTGTCTCTGCCATGGCCCATGAACTCCAGTCCTTCGATGGGAATCTCCTTCTCCTTTATTGCTTTCTGATGGGAGAAGACACATTATTATAAAGGTCAATATGAAGCTTACTGGCCTTGAGCAAGCCTCACTTTTCCTGTCTGCAACTGGGATAAAGACAGCAACAACTGGAGAGAGGGAGGGGGGAGAGAAAACAGGTCAATAAAGGATTTATGACGACAAAAAAACAAAGCCCTCCATCAGGCCAATAAAGTGTTTATAACAATCAAAAATAAAACCCTCCATAATATCTTAACAGGCCAGAGAAGGCTGACACCCAGCCTCACCCCGAAACATAATAGTGGAAAAGTGCACTACCGCAAAAAAAAAAAAAAAAAAAGGAACTTGATTCTAGTGAACTTGGCCTAATCACTTCCTTTTTCTGGGTGTGAGTGTTCCACTTTTCAGTTAGGACTACGCCCACTTGGCAAGTTTAAGATGAACACCAAATGCCCCAAAGAATGTTACTGTGCTCCGTAAAAAGTAAAGCACCACAAAAATATTTAACTTGTCATCTGGCGAGATCCCAGGCAGCCTGGGTGGTGATGGCCGAGAGAACTGCCGCTGCCTCGATGACAAGGCTCTTCTCCACCCGCCCGCTCCCAACGCCCGCAAGACAGAGGCGCGGGCCCTGGCGGAGCGGGCGCAGCCCACCTGGACGCACTGCTGGTAGCGCTTGAAGAGGTCGGTGCACGGGTCCCCGGAGCTGTCCCCCTTGAGGAACTTCTCGGCAAACCAGCGATTAAAGCACTGATCGTACTCGCGCTTCATGTCGGTGCAGCCCTCCCCGACGCTGTTCATGGCGGCGGCGGCGGCGCCCTCTGATGGCGTCATCCTGGCACGCCGTCTGCTGCGCCTACGGAGTCCGAGAGGAGGGATGTGGGCGCGGGCGGCGCGGCGGGTGCTCCGGGCCCCGGGGGGCGGGGGCCGGGGCTTCGCTTCCAAGGCCGGAGGCGGGGGTGTCTCCGCGGGGGGCGAGGCGGCGCCCCAGGAAAGGGGGCGCGTCCCCGGCGACGTGATCGAGCACCTGGAGCGGCTGGCGCTGGTGGACTTCGGCAGCCGGGAGGCCGTGGCGCGGCTGGAGAAGGCCGTCGCCTTTGCAGACCGGCTGCGCGCCGTGGACACGGACGGGGTGCAGCCCATGGAGTCGGTGCTGGAGGACAGGTAAACCGCGGCTGCGGCCCAAGCCTGGCCTGTGGGGCCGTCGCAGGCACTGAGGGAGGCGATGAGGGTCTCTTCAGTGAGAACCTTAGGCGAGATGCAGGAACTTGCCCACGCTCACCCCGTGGGTAAGGGTGTTCCTCTGTCTAACGGGTCCTGGCGCTCGCGTTTAAATTCCTCAGCGCCTCTCGGTGTCACACAATCCGAACTGCTGAGTATCTTTGAGGGTCTGCTTCTCAGAGCTTCTCCTACCGCCTGGGCATCCTCCTCTTACAGTCCAGTCACGTCGGCACCATCTCTTTCTCCAACGTGCCGAATAGTGCCTTCTCTAGGCGCTTTGCACTTGTTATTCCCCTTTTCTTGAACAATCTGTCCCTTTGGCAGGTCTGTTTATCTCCTCGGAAGGGCCTGTTCTGACCAGTCCAAATCCCCTCCCGCTTCCTTATCTTAAATGGGTTTTCTTCAGATATTTTTTTGACTGTCTTATTTTTGTTAATTTGTTATGTCTCTTATTAGAATGCGTTCACATCTGACTTGCTTACTAAGTTGGACGCATGTCTCAGATTTTCCCCCCAAAAAATTTAAATATACACATTGTCTGACCTAGTGGTTATGGAACTATCTGTGAAAGTGCACCAAGCTGTGTTTACAAGTATCCAGGGTATGCAAATCTGTTCATAGTAAGGAAGAAACAAAAACCCCTAGAAACAGATATAATCTAAGTGTTCTTTGTGACTAATACATCATCATACAATGGACCATTCAGCAATTATTAAAAATAATGAAACAGCCTTAGCCGATTTGTCTGGACTGAAGGGTCCTGGGTTCGATTAGGTTCCTTTCCAGTTAAGGGCACATTGCTGCGATTGTGGCTTGATCTCCAGTGGGGGGCATGTAGGAGGCAGCCAGTCACCGATGTTTCTATCTCTCCCTCTCTGAAATCAATAAAAAAATATAAAATAATAATAATGAAACAAATACCTTTCTGTGCTGACATGGAAAGGGTATATTTGATATATTTGATAAAAAAGGCAAAATTCACTGTGTATTTGATTAAAAAAAAAGAACATTGTGTATGATATTATCAATGTTTTTACATTTCTGATGATGCAGTTTCCTTTTGCTCCCTGAAAAGGCATGTAGAACACGGTTAATGGTTAGTTTTAAAGAAAGTGGCAATGCACAGGGAAGAATATACATGCCTAAGGAGGCAGAGTAATAGGTTGTGAAAAGTAGTGTAATGCAATGGGGAGGAGTGGGTCTTTGACAGACTAGCTTGTAAATACTAAAAAGACACATCTTCTACCCACCTCTAACAATTGATGCCAAATCTTAATACATTTTTTAAAAGAAAATGCTTTTTTGAAAAGCAGACTTGTTTGCTGGTTTGGCATCCAGCTTTGTTAGTGGGAATGTAACTCATAAAAATAGGGGCAGTCTACAACTCTTTCCTAGCCTTTTCCTGATGGAATTTTAAAAAATAATAAACTAGTACAGGTGGGAACAAGAAAGATGAGTGCCATTAGCACCAATAGGGATGGCCAGACCATCTGAGACAATACCTTTTGTGTAAACTGCTTGTTAGCCTCCTGCTCTGAACTCGTCTTTGATTCCTTCAAATCCTTTCGCTATTTGTATTTTGGTGCTCAGGTAGAGAGTTTAACTAATTTGCCCAAAGTTACACAATGTTTCAAAACAGAAATCTGCCCTGACCAGTTTGGCTCAGTGAATAGACTAGAGCATCAGCCTGTGGACTAAAAGGTCCTGGGTTCGATTCCAGCCAAGGGCATGTACCTTAGTTGGGGGCACATCCCCAGTAGGGGGTGTGCAGGAGGCAGCTGATCGGGTGTTTCTCTCTCATTGATGTTTATAACTATCACTCTCTCTTCATCTCTGTAAAAAATCAATTAAAATTGAAAAAGCAAACAAAAAACACCAGAAATCTGATGTCAGAAAGCTTCAGGTAGCACAGCATCAAGACAAAAGCTTCACCATAACAGGCAGGTCATCATGTAATGCAAGACAACACTGTTAACTTTTCAAGTCCTCCTGCTCTCCTTTTTTTTCTTCCTTTTTTTATTGATGTTTAGAGAGTAGTGGAGGGGAGAGGGAGAGACAGAAACATCAGTGAGAAAGGATCATTGATTGGCTGCCTCCTGCACGGCTCCCACTGGGGATTGAGCCTGCAACCGAGGTATATGCCCTTGACTGTAATTGAACCTGGGGCCCTTTAATCGGCAGGCCAACCTTCTATTCACTGAGCCAAACCAGCTAAGGGTCCTTTTTCCTTCTTTTTTTATAATTATATTTTATTGATTTTTTTTACAGAGAGGAAGGGAGAGGAGATAGAGAGCTATCGATAGAAACATCGATGAGGGAGAGATATCGACCAGCTGCCTCCTGCACACCCCACACCAGGGATGTGCCCGCAACCAATGTACATGCCCTTGACCGGAATCAAACCTGGGACCTTTCAGTCCGCAGACCGATGCTCTATCCACTGAGCCAAACCGGTTTCGGCTCCTTTTTTTCTTCTTAAAGGCCCTTGCCTTTACCCCCAGTTCATCACACTTACTCTCTTTTGCCTAATTTCTTTCTTCAGATTTCTTCTGCCACGTTCTAAGGACTTGTGGCTTTCACATGGTATTCAATAGTGCTGGAATTTTACATTTTTATACATCATTTAAGTGACATTGGATCATCTACCTCTCTCCTCCCACTCGTCCATGTTCTGGGGAGCATGTTTGTTATTGCTCATCATGTTCTCAGTCTCTAGCACTGAGCAGACACTCAGTAAATGTTGACTTTTTTTTTTTTAAGTATATTTTATTGATTTTTTACAGAAAGGAAGAGAGAGGGATTGAGAGTTAGAAACATCGATGAGAGAGAATTATCAATCAGCTGCCTCTTGCACACCCCCTACTGGGGATGTGCCCACAACCAAGGTACATGCCCTTGACCGAAATCGAACTTGGGACCTTTCAGTCTGCAGGCTGACGCTCTATCCATTGAGCCAAACTGGTTTCGGCGACTGTTCTTTATTAATATCTTTGGGAAAGTAGGTGATAAAAGCACAAAGGAGAGTCAGAATTTCCTAAGTCATCTAGAGAATAACTAGATGAAATGTGACTATTACTCAGAGAAGAGTTTGTGAAAAAGATGAAGAGGGATTTGGGTCTGGTAGTTGGAATAGTGACTTGGTATTCAGTGATCTGCCATCCTGGCATAAATTTGGGACTTCATGTTTTGGACATGCTGTCTGACATTTGAAATGGAACCCAGTTAAGTGAAGACAAGTGTTAAGAGTTCTAAGTGATAGCCAACTGCTGTAAAAGCTTAGTTCTTTTTAGCTCAAACCAAATGATAGGTGGTCAGGGCTTTCTCAGCAGTATGGCTATCATTTGGTTTAACATAAAAAGCATTAGCATGCTAACATGACAGGCACTAATATTTATATGCATTAACTCAGTTATCACATACAACCACTGAAAGGAAATACTAGTATCTCTTTTATCGATGAAGAAACTAACACTCAGGTTATGTAATATGCCCCGCAGTTTCCCGGAGTGAGAGAGGTCAGGATTTGGAACTCAGAGCCTTACTGCTTTGGATATACCATAGAAACTATTTTCATCTCAAAGCCAGAGATTGACTCAGATGGCGTCTCTGACTGCAGCCAAACACTTCAGTGGTTAGGATGGCCCTCAGGAACCTTATTTGAACCAAAAACTCTGAGCCAAAATGGTTAACTTTCATTCAGGTCTGCATCAAACTAGAAATAAATGAGGAGGGATCGAAGTAGGGTGGTGCCCAGAGAAATGACTCCTGGCAGCCAGCCCGATACCAGGGAAGGGCAGAACCTGAAACAGAAAACTGTCCTAGTGTCAGTCCAGGGCTGGCAGAGCCACTTCCTCCTCCATGCTGCTATACTGATTTCCATTAAATACCTTTTATTTGCATTTCCCAGTTTAATACCTGTCTATGAGCTTCAGAGGGCAGGGATTTCTAGTTCACAGCTGAAGTTATATCTCAAGCAGGGTTTTCATCTGAACCAGAACACAAATCCAAGTGACTCTCTTCAATTCTCCCAAGGATAGTTTATAATTAATATTAGTCCCGATACATAGCTGATTATCAAAATGGGTGTCCTACAGTATCTGGGCTAAATTTTCTTGTAAAACCTGGACTCAGAAAGCTGAGATGAGGTAGGCATTTAGTCAGTGAGTGTTTCACAGGCACCTAAAAGCTCATCAGTTCCTGTTCGGTGTCTTACACAGGATCCTGAGGTCAAGAAAAGTTAATCTACTTGCCAAGCGAAGGATCGGCTTGCAGTGCCCTGGGCTCAGAGCCTATGATGAAGGAAACAGGGAGTTGTGGGTTTATTCTAGAAACAACATCATTATAAACAGGTGGAAATGTGTGACAGCTAAAAGGATGAATTTTTTCCTGGAAATGTCACCCATGGTGAAGTGATGAATAAATCAGTTGTTACTAGATCAACTGTTGGGAAGCAGTAGCTTTTAACTTGTTGGCAGTAGGTGAGTCTTCATCCAAATCTCCAAAGGCCCAGGGACAATGGGCACCCCTCCAGTCTGAAGAGACTAATCAGGTTAAGTGTGACTAGAGCAGGTGAAGTGCAGTTATACTCTGAATGAGTGGGACTGATGTGTACTTGGGGTGTACTAACTCTTTCTAAAAGAAGCAGGCTCACCCTAGCTGGTTTGGCTCAGTGGATAGTGTTGGCCCGGGGACTGAAAGGTCCCAGATTCGATTCTGGTCAAGGGCACATGCCCAAGTTAAAGGCTTGATCCCCAGTAGGGGGCATGCAGGAGGCAGCCAATCAATGATTTTCTCTCATAACTGATGTTTCTCTCTTCCTTCTCTCTGAAATCAATAAAAATAAATAAAAGGAGCAGGTGCTATTCAGCATCCATCTCTTATTGACATGATAATATATCCCAGCATTATATTTTTTAACATCATTTTATTTAATCTTCCCAACAACTCTATGAAGCATTCTACAAATGAGGAAACTGATACATAGAGCGGATAATTTGCACATATGCCATGTGAAGGTGTCTATGGTGGGGAAAAAGCATCACTGGGACCTGAATTGAGGAGCCCAAGCTCTTAGCCATTTGTTATACTGCCCAACAGAAATGTAAACTCCAGACAGTTTAAAGGTCACCTTTATGATTTTTTTCTCTCTCCAAGTTTTCTTAAACACAAAATTCTTTTTTTAAAAAAATAAATTTTTATTGTTCATATTATTACAAATGTTCCTCCCCCCCTCCATTGCTCTCCTCCACCAGGTTCCCACCCCACCCTCTGCCCTTTCCCCACCCCCCACTGTCCTTATCCATAGGTGCACCGTTTATGTTCAGTCTCTTCCCACATCGCCCTCTCCCCTTTTCCCCAAGAATCGTCAGTTCACTCCCCTTCCATACCTCTGATTCTATTATATTCACCAATTAATATTGTTCATCAGATTTTTTTAAATTTAATTTCTTTTGGTTTTTAGATTCACTTGTTGATAGTTACATATTTGTTGTTCATAATTTTTATCATTATTTACTTTCTCTTCCGAAAGAACCCCCTTCAGCAATTCATATAATTCTGGTTTGGTGGTGATGAACTCCTTTAGCTTTTTTTTATTAGTGAAGCTTTATCTGGCCTTCGATTCTGAGTGATAGCATTGCTGAGTAGATTATCTTTGGCTGTAGTTTCTTACTATTCATCACCTTGAATATTTCTTGCCATTCCCGTCTGGCCTGCATGGTTTCTGTTGAGAAATCAGCTGACAATCGTATAGGTGCTCCTTTATAGTAACTACCTGCTTTGCTCTTGCTGCTTTTAATATTCTCTTTGTCTTTTGCTCTTGGAATTTTAATTATGATTTGTCTTGGTGTGGTCCTCTTTGGATTCCTTTTGTTTGGAGTTCTGTGCGCTTCCTGGACTTGTAAGTCTAATTCTTTCACCAGGTGGGGGAAGTTTTCTGTCACTATTTCTTTCAGTATGTTTTCAATATCTTGCTCTCTCTCATCTTCTGGGACCCCCATAATTCTGATGTTGGTTCACTTGAAGTTGTTCCAGAGGTTTCTTACATTATCTTCAATTTTCTGGATTCTCTTGCCTTCTTGCTTCTGCGGAGGAGTGTCTTCTGGCTCTTTATGTTCCAAATCTTTGACTTGATTCTTACGATCTTCCATTCTGTTTTTAGGACTCTGTATAATATTTATTTCAGACAATGTATTCTTTATTTCTTTTTGATCCCTTATCATTTCTTGTTGATTCCTTATTAATTCTAGTTGATCCCTTTTCATATCCTCATAGGTCTTATTGACCTTTTCTAGGAAATTCTTGAAAAACCTTATAAGCATAGATTTGAACTTTATATCCAGTCGCTTTTTGTCCTCCATTTCTTTCGTTTGTGATCTATTTCATTGTCTCGGCATTTTCACAGCTTCCCTGATGGGGCGGGGGGGGGGGTGGTGGTGGTGGTGGTGGTGGTGGTGGTGGTGGTGGTGGTGGTGGTGGTGGTGAGGGGGGTGGGTGTTCAGGATGGAGCCTACAGCCTTGGCTTCCATTCAGCCCCGCCCTATGCAGCTCCTGAGTCTCAGTAATCCCCAGGGTCCTTCAGTACTCGTTGCAAGCACCTCTGAAAGGTGCCCTCGATTTTCGCCTGCTACCAAACAGTCTAGGATCTCCCCCAATGAGCCCAGAACTGGGGTTGTTCAGTTGGAGGTGGCGTTCAGAGCAGTCTGGAGCTTTTGTCTCCTTCCTGCCAGGGCAATCCCGCAGCACAGCCAACTGTCCCTTCTCTGCACACAATGTGCGCGCCTCCGGGACCTCCTTTCGCCGCTCCCCCGGGGTTCTGCCTTATAGCCCAGCTCCCTATGGATGAGCCTGGGTCCCGGGGTCTGGCCTAGAACTGGGGTTCAGAGCAGTAGGAACTGGGGCCCAGCACAGTTGGAGCTTATATCTCCTTCCCGCTAGGGAACGCCAGCCAGGCACTCAGCCGCCCTCCTCTCCGGCTCCGTCCTCTCCGCGCGCACGCCGCGTGTCCTTGTACCTTAGGCTTTTACAGCTCCTCTGCTCTTCCTTCTGGTTTTCTCCTTGCTTCTCGTTGTAGAATTTCCAGTCAGTCGACTTTCCTGTAGTTCTGGGTAATGTCCATTAAAATTGTGTGTGCGGCTGCGGCTAGGTGTTTACCTGTGCAGCCATCTTGGATTCTCCCCAAAAACAAAATTCTTATGTGATTAACAAAAAAACAGTAGTACAGCCTTCACTTTTTTTGGCAAAAAACTTAAGGTCTGTTAAAATCATACTTTGTTCCAGACCAGTTAAGACAGTGCCTGTCCTGGAATGGACCCCACTGTCCACTCTTCATACTATGAATGTTTACTGTGTCTACTCTAAGGCTGGTGCCACAAAAAGATCAGGTCCTTTCCTTAAAAAAACCTTACAGCCGAAACCGGTTTGGCTCAGCAGTGGAGCGTCAGTTTGTGGACTGAAAGGTCCCAGGTTCGATTTTGGTTGAGGACATGTACATTGGTTGTGGGCACATCCCCGGTAGGGGGTGTGCAAGAGGCAGCTGGTTGATATTTCTAACTCTCTGTCCCTCTCCCTTCTTCTCTGTACGAAATCAATAATATATATATATATATATATATATATATATATATATATATAAAATATATTTTATTAATTTTGTACAGAGAAGAAGGGAGAGAGATAGTTAGAAACATCATTGAGAGAGAGTCATCGATCAGCTGCCTCCTGCACACCCCCCACTGGGGATATGCCCGCAACCAAGGTACATGCCCTTGACCGGAATCGAACCCGGGTCCCTTCAGTCCCCAAGCCGACGCTCTATCCATTGAGCTAAACCGGTTTCGGCTTTAAAAAAATCTTACAACTTAGTCCTCTAGGCAGCCTCTGCCCAGATGTTCATGTCATAACCTTGCCCCTTTGTCCCATTAGGTTTAGCCCTGCAAGCTCAATGACTGAGCAAGTATCTGAAGCAGGCTCAGGCCTCCTGTCATGTACGCTTAAATCCTGAAACAGGAGTGAAGCCTCATAGATGTTCAGCTCCTGTTTGCTTTTACTAGTTTGCCATCTGCATACTTTAATGAAGCAACTAGTGGGCGAGTCCTGAGTTGTTTGTGGTACATCTTGCAAGGGGAGGCACTTTTATCTCCTCAAAGCACTTGCCTCAGAAGTACCAGAACTGGGCACAGATCCCAGTCCACTGAGGAACCTGTAAGTCACTTATAAACCACTCTTGAGCAAGTTACCTGCCAGGAAGTCCATTTCCCATCCTCCCAATCCAGCTATTTTTGCCCATCCTTTAGCAATGACATCACCTCTTCTGAGTAATTGTTCCTCACCCAGGCTGAGTTAGGTGTCCTTTCTACTCCCTTGATGAGCTGTGCTTACCTGTTAGATTTAACATATTGTATTTCAATTGCTTTTAATGACCTATCTCCCAAAAACAACTTACCCATAGTAATTATCCAAAAATATTTAAATTTATCAATCCCAAGGAATAATAACCAATTACTGCAGAGGGTTGTTGGAAGAATCTGTAAGTTGTACACTGTCTAATGTTGACCACAGCTCTCCCATTTTAAATATATTTTTACTGATTTTTCAGAGAGGAGGGAGAAGGAAAGAGATAGAAACATCAATGATGAGAAAGAACCATTGATCAGCTGCTTCTTGCACACCCGCTCCTGGGGGTCGGGCCCACAACCTGGATATGTGCCCTTGACTGGAATCAAACCTAGGTCCTTTCAGTCCACAGCTGACGCTCTATCCACTGAGCCAAACCAGTTAGGGCACAGCTCTTCCACTTTTGAGCCGTGCCCAGAACTCAAGAATATGCTGTGTCTTTGTTCCCCCATTCTCGACCCTCTCCACACATGCCTTCGAAGCCTTGTTCTCCCAAGAAGTAACCTGAAGCTTTTGATTTTGTAGATGTCTATACCTGAGACCCGACAACGTGGTAGAAGGCAACTGTGCTGAAGAACTACTGCAGAACGCCCATCGAGTTATGGAGGAGTATTTTGTGGCTCCCCCAGGTACGCGTTTCCCGAAGTTTAACAAGCTGTCCCACAGTAAATTAAAAATATAGTAGGACCCAGGTGTTCCCCAAATAAAACTGGGGTGGAGAGGAGTATGTCCAGAAGCAAATCTGGAGCTCAAGCTCCACCGAAGGGGCAGCTGGCCTTCACTGCTTCTCAGGCAGGAAGGGGAGCCCATTTCCCCGGGAACCAGGGCATCTGGCATTTTGTGTGATACTTCCCAAATTTTAAGTACTGGCAACTAATTAAAAAAAAAAAAAAAAAAAGATTATGCAAATAAAACATATCACAGATGTATTCTGTGAGTTATCAGTTTGTAACCCTTGGTGTAAAAATTTACATGTTTAAACCTCACTGCAACTATTTTAAGTGGAAATTTAAAAATAATCCTGGGCTAATAATAAAACCCAGAACTTTGGGTGGGTTTCTTATTTCCTCTGCAGATAAGTGGGCCCTCAGAGCTTCCACATACATGTAGATATTTGTAGCCTAAGAACTCCAGGTACATTATTTTCAAATACTAACTTCAAGTTCGGGATATCCCTTTAGTCCAGGGAAACATCAGCCCTCCAGCTCAGGGGTTACTAACCTCTTTGATCAAGACCAACCAGTTAAAGGCAGGCTCTGGTTGAAGCAAGGATGGGAAGGAAAGCTAAGATATTTGTGAACTCTAATCCATGCCTCCGCCTCACTGAACTGCCTCAGTAACTGTGGAGAGAAATAAGACTTCTTCATCTATCTCAGAGCCTGCCGGTTATCACCGTTTCAGCAGACATATCCACTGATCACGTTATTTCTACACAGAACCTTGTCCCAGACTTCGTTTCTTGGGACAGAGTGAGGTCACAGTCATAGACTTCCCTCCATTCCTAAATGCATATAATAGGTAATTAAGCTGAGTCTGCTCCTTATTGAAAAGTACATTAGGTTTCAGTTATAACTGTGATTTCTTCAGAAAACAGGTTGGTAGCTACACTTACTTCCATTGTTTATTTTCCATGACAAACCAAAGATAACTTAGCTCAGAGAGCCAGTTGGGAAAGCAGGTTCAGTTATAACATTCTTTTTTATTATTATTTTCAAACAGGTAATATCACTTTGCCAAAGCTGGATGAACAAGAGCTCTTCTCAAAGAGCTGAAGAGCTGTCTGGGAAGGGTACCCTCTGAACACATGGAAGCACGATAGTATTTTGTTGTTAAGAATACTAAAGTGCCACTTCCCTCAGTAACCGGGGAAAAATCGATGATTAAGTATTTTTCTTAATAACTAACTCTTCTGAAGATGGAACTGGGAAAGATTTAACCAAAACAAGGCAATGTGTTCCTGAAGCTAATGGAAGTAAAAGGTATTGTCAATTTCCAATGAAATGTTCACTTTGGAAGATATCTCCCTTTATCTCCTCCCAAAATTATCTACCCAACTGCACTTAAGTGAATTTTTTTTATATAACCTGTTAGACATTGCATCTGACCAAAGTGATAACCTGAGTTGTCCTTTCTAGTTGCTGTTTCCATCGACCTGAGCACCTTCTATATTTACCAACACTGAGTTTGTTCCCGGGCACCCACTTTGTTCTGAACAGAGGGTTAACTTTCTGCTAAATTCTCAAGCGTCTTTGACGACTATGTAGCTTTGCAATTCCTGACATCCATCCCACAAAGTGATTGTATGCAAAGGGGATATTAACCAAACCTATAGTTTTACTTTCTGAAAAGAACTTAATGGCTTTGATGGTGGTGGGTTTAGGGGTGTATACTTAACCCAAAGACATTAAGTTGTATACATTAGCTTTTTACATGTCATCCTTCAGTAAAGAGGGTTATGTAAAAAATATAGCCCAGGCCTGGGACATAGTTGACCCTCAATTACTGAATTGAACAGGATCTAAGATGTTGTGTTCACTCCCCACCCCAGATTCTTTTTTTTTTTAAGCTCACATACCTCGCCCTGGCCAGCTTGTGTAAGTGGATAGAGCATCAGTCTGCGGACTGAGGGGTCCCAGGTCCGATTCCGGCCAAGGGCACATGCCTGAGTTGAGGGCTTGATCCCCAGTGGGGGGCGTGTAGAAGGCAGCTGATCAGTGATTCTCTCTCATCATTTGTATTTCTAGCTCTCTCCTTCTCCCTTCTTCTCTGAAATCAATAAAGAAATATATTTATAAAAAAATAAACAAAGCTCACATACCTCATAGATATGGAGAGCAGACTGGTAGTAGCCAGAGGGGTGAGGGCTGGGGGACAGTGGAAGGGTGAAGGGATTGAGAAGTACTAATTGGTAGTTACAACATAGTCATAGGGATGTAAAGTACAGCAGTCAGTAATGTGGTGACTGTGTATGATGCCAGGTGCCTACTGGAAATATTGGGGGTGGGGAGTGGGGGACACTTTGTAGAGTATATGATTACTTAACCACTATGCTGTAAACCTGAAACTAAGACAAAATAATATTAAAAGTAAATTATAATTGAAAAATAAAAAAATTTGAAAGTTCAGGTAGCACAGATAAATGAGACAGATTAGAAGTAAAAGTGATAGGCTCTAACTGGTTTGGATCAGTGGATAGAGCATCATCAACCTGCAGACGGGCGGGTCCTGGGTTCAATTCCTATCAAGGGCACATGCCAGATTTGTGGGCCCAATCCCTAGCCGATCAATGATTCTCATCATAGATGTTTCTCTTTCTCCCTTCCTCTCTGAAATATATATATTTAAAAGGAAAAAAAAAAGAAAGAACCCTAAACCTGCCCTTGGGATGGAAGCTCTCAAACTATCATCAGAGCAACTACCTTTTTAAAAATATACATATATACATAGATTTTTTTTAATTGATATCAGAGAGGAAGAGAGAGATAAAAACATCAATGATGAGAGAATCATTGATCGGTTGCCTCCTTCACACTCCCTACTGGGGATCAAGCCTGCAGCCCAGGCATGTGCCTCTAACCGGAATCCAACTTGGGACCCTTCAGTCAGCAGCTGACGCTCTACACTGAGCACCTGTTTATCCACTTCTACTCCTTACCAACTGAGCACAAGTTGTCACTACAACTCAGTGTTTTGTTTGTTTTCTTAATCATTATGCCCGTTTGGTGAAATATATGAACTTAATCAAGGACAACCACACGTGTCAATTATGAAACATTTAAAATATATTTCTAAACAGAATGGGTCCATTTAGTCACAGTAACTGCTGATCTCCATAGCAGAGAAACCCACAAACACGTAGCACTGATTTTGTTTTTCCCCCCCATAATCAGGGGTGAAAAATATACAACTTGTTTCTGAACCAAAGCCACAATTTCTGCAGTTGAAAATGTTTCACTGCTAATATGGCCCTGGTAGAAATTATGTAATTTTATTTCCTTTAAAAAAAATTAAAAAATTTTCTAAGACACTAAATCATCAATCTGGAATGTAAATTCTGAGCCCAAAGCAGCTCAGTTCGCCTAAAAAAATAAAGAAAAAATTCCCATCACCTGTTTCAGTAGGGCCTGAAGGGAGAGAAGTATTTAGTGTGGGGAACCCCTGCTTTGGTATGGAGAGTCACGGCCTCTTGACCCAGACCGAGACCGTGAGTAGCCATAGCTGGTGCTTCTCTCTGGGTAAACTCTGATGTAGGAAGTTTCACCCTGAAATTCAAACAAAAAGTAAAAGGTAAAATAAGTCCCAGAATAATGAAGTCTACCAATATTCTACCAATAGTCTACCATAGCTGCTTAACAATAACAGTGCTGCATTGAGCACTATTTGCCTGGCACAATGTTATCTCATCAAGCCCCGCAATTCTATGGGGTAAGTACTCTTACTAGTCCATTTCAAGAATGCTCTCATCTGCTGAAGGTGACACAAATAATAAATCGTAACTTGACATGTGTAAATGCTTAAATACTAGCTTAATAACAGCCACTAACCCCCTAGAACCTAAAAACTGGAAAGGCTCTCAGAGATTATATACACACTATATGGAGGGGCAAAAGTAGCTTACAGTTATTCATATGGAAAAATAACAGTAATTAATAAATAATACAAAAATAAACTGTGTTTCACACACTCTCAACTGTAAACCTACTTTAGCCCTACCCTGTATAGTTCAATCGCCTGCTGCCTCATGGGCATCTTTCAGTGGTACCTATGGAAGGGGTTAGCCTGTATTCAGCATCTCCCAGGTGTCAGGACTTGGGCTAGATGCTCTAGTTTCATAATTTAACTTCCTAGCAAGTCTTATAACACAGTGCTATTGTGACTATTTTGCACATGGAGGAACCAGAGTTGAGAGTAGCTCAGCTAAGCAGCAGGAGTCACATTCAGTCTGGCCTTTCTCCAAGCCCTTTGCCATCAGCCAACATTTTCAGAAAATCTAAAAATGCTAAAATGAAAGAGCAGGATGCTTTTCCCCTAGGTCACGTCAATAATTGAATTTTACCTAAAGTTCGGCTTTGCATGTATTTGACCAGGTGCTATTGTGTTTTGCTCCAATTTCAAGACCTAAGAGTTAGTCTGAGCAAAAGCATTGCTAAGCCATACATCCCCCACCCCATAAAATTAGGGAATTTTATGAATCCTTAGGGAAAAAAACAAATGGGCCTAGATATTCATGTCTTTAGACATTCCTAAACCCCATATTAAGTCAGGCAAGATAACCAGAAAAAACAACAACGTCCAATGGTGGTCTAATATCTGGTTTCAATGGTATCAAAGGGATAATCACCATTCGAATCAGACTGAGATATCCAAAGCAGCAGCTGCCATATATATATATATTACACACACGTATATATGTGTGTGTGTGTGTGTGTATTATTGATTTCAGAGAGGAAGGAGAGAGAGGGAGAGACATCAATGATGAGAGAGAATCATTGATCGGCTGCCTCCTGCATGCCCCATACTGGGGATCAAGCCTGCAACCCGGGTATGTGCCCTTGGCCAGAATCAAACCCAGGACCCTTCAGTCCACAGGTCGACCCGACCCTCTATCCGCTGAGCCAAACCGGCTAGGGTAGCAACTGCCTTCTTGAAAGGAAGGACATCCAGAACTAAGCCCTGAAGGTGAGGTGACCAACCACAAGAAAATAACAAGGGAGCTCAGGTTTCAAAAAGGATCCTGCACTACTTTGGGAAAGAACAATGAAACGACAACTCTGCTCCACCAGCAGTATCTGGAAAGGCTGAGATGAGTTGGCTTGCAGAGTCCGTACTAGACCCAGAGGAGAGACAGCCATAATCTTTAGGTTCACAGAGAGACACTGCAGATCAAGCCAGTTAATGAGAAGGATGTTATCACAATAGCTCACCACATTATGACAGACTGCACCAGTATTCTCTCCAGGTTAAAAATACTATGAATGCAGACTTCTCTGTAATAACCCTGCAGGGCTTAGGCATGATACATTCCTTGGCTTTGTCCACTTAAGATAGATCTTTAATGGTACTGTGAGGTCATCAAGTGGCAAATGCATGGCCTGGTGCTACTTCTGCTAGGTCAGCTTCAGATGGAGTGGACTGGGTACAAGCTCCTCAACAGAAGGTGGGGACGCACCTCATGAGAGCGGAATTTGGTGTCATCCAGTTTACGCAGGGCATATTCCATGTCTTCTTTTCTGAGATACTCGACCATCCCCATTCCATCCTTCTGCACATCCGCGTAACAGACGTCCCCAGCTTCTCGCATGTGATCCTTCAGGTCCTGCCAGCTTCCTGAGGGAGGAAGTCCTAGGTATGGAGAACATAAGAGGCCAATCCTTCAGCTGTGTTAAACGCCATTAAGAGCCAGCATTGCCTAGAATCCCTTCTCCATCAATCACTACCGGTACTTTTAAATCCCGAGGGCTCCCAAATCACAAATCTGGGTAAGGGATACAAAATCAAAGCGCACTAAAGTATTTGTGGCAAATCACCTTAGGAAGCTAGTCCTCGCCGGGACCGGTTTGGCTCAATGGATAGAGTGTCGGCTTGGGGACTGAAGGGCCCCAGGTTCGATTCCAGTCAAGGTTGCGGGCATATCTCCAGTAGGGGGTGTGCAAGAGGCAGCTGATCGATGACTCTCTCATTGATGTTTCTAACTCTATCTCTTTCCCTTCCTCTCTGTACAAAAATCAATAAAATATATTTTTTAAAAAATAAAAATAAATAAAAGAAGCTAGTCCTCGCCCTAACCGGTTTGGCCCAGTGGATAGAGCGTCAGCCTGCAGAATGAATAGTCCCAGGTTCAATTCCGGTAAAGGGCATGTACCTTGGTTGCGGGCACGTCCCCGGTGGGGGTGTGCAGGAGGCAGCTGATCAATGTTTCTAACTCTCTATGCCTCTCCCTTCCTCTCTGAAAAATCAATAAAAAAAATATTTTTTTAAAAAAGCAAAAAAAAAAAAAAAAAAAAAAAAAAAGGTAGTCCTACAGCCCTAGCTGGTTTGATTCAATAGATAAGAACATTGGCCTGCGGATCGAAGGGCCTGGGGTTCAATTCCGGTCAAAGGCAC